TTCCAGGCTGCTCTGAAGCGCACTTTTCTTCGTCTCGGTTGGCCGTTCGGAGCAGAGCTTGTTGTCGACGTCACCGGTCCCCAACCTCCTTCGGTTTAGGGATGTTCAGGGCTTATAAGGGGTTTATGGCTTAGGGATGCTTGGGGCTTCTAGGGTTTCGGGGTTAGGATTCCGGGGTGGGTCTGTCGCCACACCTGCCGGCCGGTGATCAAACTTCCTTGCATCGTCTTGCACTCAGTCGCTCGGAGTCTAAGGAATGGAAGGCTTGTAGAGTTCAGACCGGGGCGCTTTTGAAAGCCAAGAAAGCTTGAAAAGCTTTCAAGTCCGAAACCTCCACCCCCCCCCCGGCACGGAAGGCGGCACGGAAGGTTCTCTCCAGCATACATGCCGCTCCGCGAACGGCGGCTGTCGGTGCGTAAACCGATCCGTTGCTGCATGCGCGCAGCCGGCTTCCACGGAGCCTTTGCTTCACAATATCATGTTGTGCTCGGAAAGAGTAGTGGAAGCATAGTGAGCGGAGAGGAGGCTCCTTTGTTTTCCCTGCTCCACTCGCCCGTGCTGCATTGTCGGAAGCGTCCCTCTAGGCAGCTCCACGTGCTACTTGCATTCCGCATTGCCGTCTCAGCACAGAAATTAGCTCCTTGTGCCATCACCCCTCGCATCCCCTGTGGCGTCCATTTCGTAAGGTGGGGGCCCCCAACCGTTCGCTCCCTGCTCGCTCAGGCTAAGAGCTGCCTGGCTTGCCTGTGCGATTGTGCCTTTTGTGCTCTAGACACAGAGGCTCTGCGGGGCTCGTCCTGCCGGCTCTGACGATGCAAGCCTCCATACGCAGGCTTCGTTGCGCTGCGCTGAGCAAGATTGTGAAGGCAGGCGCTTGGAGTGATTGTGAGCTGACGAGATGAATGTGCCCCAGCTGGCAGAGGTGCCGGGAGTCATGACGGCACTGCGGCAGGGGCGAGGGTGTTCTTTCGGAACGGTGCTAGAGGCCTAGGGTCCGCTCCGCTTGCGGCCGCCGGTGCTCCTGGTGGAGTTGAAGAGCTACACTGGCATGATGATCATGATGCTTCTTGCGCTACCAGTCGCCCAGAGGGTGCATCTCTGTCCTTCACCAAGGGAGAGTTGACATCAGAGTACCGGTTGCTTCTGAACCCCTACTTGCTTTGCACAAGGACGCACTGGCCCACCACGGCCCAAGCACTTTCTAACCGTGATGGCGGCAGCGTGATGGTGGCAGCGTGACGTTTTCTGGCAGCGGGATGTGCACGCACAAGGTGCTCCGCCTGCACATCTGGCATCCTCCGCTTGGGACGGATCTCTGAGGCCTTTCGGAGCCAAGGTCCCCGCCTGATTTGCTTGTCCCCGTGGGCGTCGCAGACGGCCTCTATCGAACTCACTCTCAAGTCTCGCACTTGGTTTCGTTTCCCGCGCCGCCGACACTTGCCGCCCTGATGAAGACCTCGAGCTTAAGGAGACCCCTCGTGAGGCACTGCCGCAGCACCTGCCTGGCAGTGATCAAAGCTGAAACGAGCCGAGTCATCTTGGCACAAGCAACAGAGCTGCCGTGTTCCGCGTGCGTGTACACGCCGCCCTTGAAGATGCCCAAAGCCCGACGAGCTTGCGTGAGACGCTGCTGCAGATCGCCACGTTAGTGCACCATACTGGCAGGATTCAACTGTAGCACAGTTTGGCTGCCGTATGGCCACAGCACGTGCAGGTATCCATGCATCAGCTGGCACCACATACAGAATCGGAGTGCTAGACCGGGATGGATGCAAGCTGCGGCTGTCTGGCACACGGACGAGGCCTCTTTGTGCCGGAAGTTGCCGGGCGCGTGCTCGCTGCTTCCGTGCGAAGCAACAGCAAGCTTCATGCAGAGACCAGGAAAGGACAACCCACGCCCTCACAACAGAACGCATCATTCTTTTCAAATCTGTCGTCCACTCTTGCCTACCCGACGCCCATCGCAAATTCAAGGCTGGGCCCAGCCAAGCTGAACTGATAGGCACGTCTCCGCCGTCTCCGTGCTTCCATTGCTCTGAAGGCTTGTCTGGGTGAGCAGTGTGGTAGCTTCTTCCGAGGACTTGCCGAGCTTCGCTGCCTGAGCCTTTGCACGATGCCCTGTGCCCGAGGGCTGTGAGTCGCGGTGCAAGGGCCGGTGGCTTAGTTCTTGGCCTTGGGCTTTGTAAGCATGCATGAATGTGCAGATGACTTGTCACATGCGAGTGCGTTGCGGCGTTGTGAGCTGCTTACTGCCAAAATGCGTCAGGACTTGCTTACTGCTTCTGGTAGTCCGGTTCTATTGTCGCGACTGTGCTGAAACTGCACGGTACTTGCCACATTAGCTTCTCTCTGTGCTCGCTGCACATGTGGTCATGGCACATTCTGCCACTGGAGCTCGCAACCGGTATTGTCATGATAGTGGGCCCCTCGACTTGAGGCGCTCTGTTCCATCTGGCTGTTCGTGCCGATTCTGTCAGAACTCCACTTTTCTCACGTAGTCCTTTGTGAACGCACGTGAATAGCTAGCATTTCGAGGCAACAGCAGGTCCATTGTTCACGACCTTCTGGCTCCTGCGCCAGCTGGGGTTGTTCTAACCTAGCATCTGCTTTAAGGATTCTGGTGTGAATAGGGGATTTCCCTATATCAAGGGTTCTTGAGAGCAATGCAAGATCCAGCAGGAGCCGGCTGTCGGAGGTTGGAGACTAGACCCTTGCTACTCAAGCAGGTAAGGCGGCACTTGTTCTGGCATCCCCCACTAGATCGCATATTGTGTTTGCTTGCCATTCAGCACCGAAATTTGTGGGGGTTGAGGACCTGCAGAGAGCGTCCGGAGTGTCGGCCCGGCAGTCTTGCATGCAACACGCCTCTTCGACTGTGCGGCTTGCCTTCTCTGGCTGTTTTCCGTGTCTGCGGCTGCGACTGCCCATGCATCGGGGCGGATCGTGGCACATGGTGGCGACGGCCTGCGTGGCCTGCTTGCATTCCGGCAGGGCAGGCTGGAATCTTCTTGAGTTTCGCAACCGCACAGCTGCCAGCATGACACATCCTCAGGAGAACTTTGCTAGGCGCCTGCCCTCGACTCTCTTTCTGCCTTGCCGTGCCCCCGAGAAGCGAGGCTCTAGTGCTGTTGGCTCCGCCCACCTCTGACCTACTAGTCTGAGAGATGAAGCCGAGTCCTGAGCGGCGATCCTGTCATAGCAAGTCCTGTCCAAATACCCGCCGGTATAATTGCTGCTTGAACACCGTTTTTACTCGTTCGCGTGTTTCTGTCTGCAGGCCTCGAACTCAGCCACCCTGGACGGTCCTCTCTTCGCGCGCCAGACTCTGCAGGCTGCAGCCACTCCCTGCGGGTTTCGTGTGTTGAAGCGCTGACATTGCTGTCTGCCTCTCGACTAGCTGGGACGAGGAGCGTGGCCATGCAGCGCTGGCAGGGATTTCTGAAGCACTGCAGCGGAATCCCTGCAAGATGGCTTGTGCGACTGCCGTCCTTCGTTGAAAATTTGGCCGGGTGTTTGAGCAGTGGCTGCTCATGAGACATGTGCGTGTGAGTAGCTTTGCCCCTGGTGGCTGCTTGTTGTCGCATCCTACACGGTGCAGGCATAAGGTCATCAGGCTGCAGCGGCGATCACTTGCCTGAGACGACTGTAGCTGGAAAAGTCCACACTGTGCCCTGGCACTTGTTAGGCAATGAATTTCCAAAAGCAGCTGCCGTTTGGTTGTCGTTTGGTAGCAGTGCCCGGCTCGCTTGAGATGTCAGCCGCAAGGAGGCTTCTGATGAAGGCCCCTCGCAATCTCCGACCTGTATCACGCCTCTGGGGCAGGAACCTCCTGGCCTGAGCAGAGGCAGGATTCGTGTTCAGCTGCACTGGCAGACTTGGCAACCGCACCAAAAAAGCAGCAGAAACAGTTGTTGCAACTGGACCCCCCATTCAGCAAGTTCCTTGCCCAGTTGCCGCGCCGGAAAGGTGCACTTCGCCTGTCTGGGCTCGGGAAGTCTCTGCGGCGTGCAAGAGGCTGCTCTCACTTGGGCAGGGCGTTGTCTATAATTAGCTGCGGCAGTGACAGAAAGGCTGGAAGCGTCGCCACGCCGACCCCCCCCCCCCAATCCCCCTACGCTGCCCCCCCCCCCCCCCGCCCGCTTCTAGTCCGTCCTCTACTGGTGGGCAGACATACACCCCGCGACACATAAAGCATTTTGCATGAGGCCCCTTTACAGTAATGGACCTTGTCATTCTGGAGGGCATTACCAGTATTACTCCAATCGGCTGTAGCGCACAGAAACTGAAACAGATGAACCTCCCAGGCAAGCCTGCAGACCCGTGTTCGGTCGCAGTCGCAGCGTGGGCAAAAGAGGGGCGAACATTGCGGTGGCAACGCCTGCGGCAGCGACCCGCGCCTCGCATGTACACCGGCAAAGTGCACATCAGGCCCTCTGTGCACGAAGCAAGCCGTCTCGTACTGCCAGTTAACCCTTGAGTGGAGTCCTTGCGGGAGCTCGCCGTCAAACTGGCCCCACATGGGACCTGGCCGGGCGGTGCGAATTCGGGCAGTGAGCCTGGTGAGGCGCCAGGCCCAACCAGGACCCCCCCTAAAGCGACGCGCCAAGGCCCATACCATCACCCCTCGCCGGCAAAGGTTGTGGCGGCTTCTGGAGGGGATTGGCCTCAGCACATCACGTCAGTGTTGCAGCTGTGTGGGTCAGTTTCCAGTGGTGCGAGCTTTCGGGCTTGCCTTTCGAGGGAGGAAGCTGCACCTGACACCAGCGCTTGGCAAAGACTCACCCAAGTGTTGAGGTGCGTCCGGGCGCGAACGCAACCGCCGGTGCCGCGCGCATCCGGCTTGCCCAAACCAAGTAGGGCCCGATGCCGAATAAGCCGAATATACTTCGGCCAGGGGTGATGATGGACAGATTCACGGAGCTCTTGTCTCCCCCACGTCCTATCTTGACTCTCCAAGCTGACAGTAGCCTGTCTACTCCTCTCTGCTCAATTAGAGTCCCTCAAGGACTGCATATCAGACTGCATCTCATGCGCACCTTCGGGTCTCGGATGGTCTCGGCCTGTGTGGTGCCCCAAGTGTCGAGCTGTTGCCGGCGCGCGGCTCCAGCTGTTGCTCTTGCGGGCATGAGGTAGCGAAGGAAGGGATGCCAGCCAGGCCGTCTAGGGAAAGTCGGATCACTATGTGCAGAGTCACTGACACCGATGGCGCCTGGTGCGGCAAGCCGCTCCCAATCGCATGTCCATGGCATGCACCACAGAATGTCCAGGTGCGGCAGTGCCTGCAGTGCGCAGTTCGCCGCACTCAGGCTGGTCTCACGGTGATGACACATCTCGAGCATAGAACGCTGACATGGGGCTTGCCTTGGCCGTCACATCTGCGCTTCCGCTGTTCGAGCTGGAGTGGCCATATGGTAGGCGTTGCTCCGATGCAGGACGCGATGGGCTGTGCAGACACGCCCTTGCTTTGGATCTCCAGTCACAGGGCAGCAGTGCCCTGCACTCCTTCCGTCTTGTCAGGATATGCAAGGGTTCGGGTCCAAACCCGAAAGCCTAAACCCTTCGTATACAAATTTGCATGCTTTCAAGAAGCAGGCCCCCATGTCAGCTGAGGAGCTCACCAAAGGCTGTGTTGTAGAAGCCTGGGCACTCGCGGGCCGTCGACGATCTGGTGAAGAGCGGCTTCACTGCAACCGACAGCTCCGACTGGCAACTTCGTCATCCGTGCTTTCAATCGACGGGAAAACGCTGAGACACATTCATGATAATGGGAGATTTCAGCCTGCATTGACGTTCGAACTCAATTAGTGAATATTGTTTATTATCATTTTTAGTGTAAGCTATTCGAATATGTAGTAACATTTGAAACATAGTACGACTAGTGAATGCCACTTGGGCACTATTTGACTTTGATAGAAATTACAGGAGATATGTAAAAACTGGAAATTATGTAGGTTAAATCTGTTCATAACAGATGAATGGTCGATTCAAACCATGTTGGTTCAAGTTACTCTCCTCATCGCTGCTGTCATCAGGGTTATTACATATGGCTAGTATTGTTAGTGACAGTATTGTCATGCAGGTGCTCTTCTTGTCTGGGACGTTGGGACATAGGAATGCCTCATTCAGAGCTTGTTGTCGGCAGGGCCTTCCGTTTTGTCGTTTCAACCTCATTTTCCTCTCATCCTTCACACTTCCAAAGCAGAAGCAGCAGAGACAACTTGCCTAGGAAGGAAGGAAGGACGCAAGGACGGAAGGACCCTAAACCCTATATAAACCCTAAACCCTAAACCCTAAACCCTAACCCCTAAACCCTAAACCCCAGACCCTAAACCCTAAACATCCCTAAGCCCTAAACCCTAAGCCCTAAACCCTAAACCCTAAACCCTCGGACAGGACTACAGACGGACAGGATGGAGGGAAGGTAGAAAGGAAGCAAGCACTGGCAAGCGATCCGAAGGCGATTGTGCGACCTGCTCCCACTTGGGGTTTTTGGGTTTAGGGTTTAGGGTTTCGGGTTTAGGTTTTAGGGTTTAGGGTTTGGGGTTTAGGGTTTCGGGTTTAGGGTTTGGGGTTTAGGGTTTAGGGTTTAGGGTTTAGGGTTTGGGGTTTAGGGTTTAGGGTTTAGGGTTTAGTGGCACGTTCTTCAGGCAATTGTTGGCACTCAGGAGTTTATACGAAAATAGGGACGAAAATGGGGGACCCCCGATATAGATCCCACATCGTACAACGCCCGTTTAATAAGGACCCCAGTAAGGTACCCCGAATTTCGGAAGCCCCCATTTCATGTCTAGCAAGACATGTACACATGGCCTGCAAATAATTTCGCACCCTATCCAGTTCGCAGGCAAGATAGTGCAGACGTTTCGCCGACAGCTGTCATGTTCTATCAGATTCTGTCACGTTTCCAGTGTGTGGCTTTCGTGTTTTGAACAGACAGCAAAAAGCGTTTTGTGTGTTTGTTGTGTTTCTTTTGTCGCCTTTTTGTTTAAAGTCTGGGAGGGGAAGCAGGAAGTAAAGAAGGGATGGAGATCAGGAAGGAATCAGAGGTCAAAAACCAGGGGAAGCAAGCCGGGATCTGCAACAAAAGATAGGGAAGGAAGGAATGAAGTAAAAGACTGAAACAGGCCGTGTTTTTGGCCGGCAGATATGGCAGAAAAAGAGGTTGTTGTTATCAAGACACAAGGAAACCGACAGCCAAGAAAAGAAAGCGCAAAAACAAGCTCTGCCCTAATCATCGGTTAGAAGACAACAACATGTATTGCTCTTCGGGTTAAGGCTGTGGAAGAAGATAAATAAGTTGACTGCTATGGAGTGCAACGAGCCTCAACCTTCAAAGCAAGATGCTTGGATACCCATCATAAAACCGAAACCCCAACCCTAAACGCTAAACCCTAAACCCTAAACCCTAAACCTCGACTTTGCCTCCAACCCCAAAAGCCTGAACCCTCGAAGCAAGATCCCCATCCCAGCACGAGCAAGGTCTTCAAGGATGGACATCTTTCCCCACACCCGGAAAAATGGCCCTAAAACCCTCGCAAAGCGCAAGGGAAAGAGTGGAAGCCTCATCCTTACACCCTCATCGTCCGAGTTGGAACGCCTTCCTACTCGATGAGCGCACCTAGCGAAGTAATCCTGTTTCCTGAGCCACCCCGACATGTGGCATCTTGCTCGCGCCGCTTGGCTTCAGCCAAAAGGGTGTGCTAGCTCAAGGAGCCGTAGAACCAGTAGCGTTTTCCTCGCACAGTTCGTGGAAGAAACTTGTTCGTGATCCTGCAGGAGCCTTCGCATGTATCGCTGCACTGGAGTCCATGTCCATGTGTGGTCGTCACGACCTGCGTTGCGTGGCCACGTCGTGGCACAGAGTGTTGAAAAGCGGTTCGGAGTTCAGAATTCAGAACCGAGTTTTTTTTTGTTGCTGCTCTTTGTTTGAAACCCATGACCCAAGTAAGGTTCAGATTGGGATGTTCACCCTCATGCTGACAGTCCTTTATAGGGATTATACTTGGGGGTACCCTAATCCCTATTGGGGACGGTTAGTATAAGGGGGAACATGTCAAGGTTCAGAGTTCGTTTCAATATGGCATTCGCCACAGCAGACCCAAGCGGACTGCATCTCTTGTCTTCTCCCTAAACCTTGGCCCTAAACCCTAAACCTTAAACCCCAAACCCTAAACCTGAGCTTGATTGGTTTTTGAGGTTCTTAAGGGAGTAGGTACCTAGGCAACCTTGGGGAAGCTTGGGGAGCCTTCGGGAGTAGTGGGGAGTATAAGGCAAGCTTGGGTTACCTACCCCCCCTTGAACCCTAAAGCCTAGACCCTAAACCCTAAACCCTAAATACCCCCCCTTGAAGCCCCCTTCCTTAAGAACTATATCTCCTCCCTTTTCGAACCCTACAATTTGAGCTTGAGAGGACATGTCCACTGACCATGCGCGCGCCGACTTCAACCTTTCTCTCGCCAAAGACTGTGGGCTGTCTGTTCCTCAGAATCTCAGGCTACCTCTAAACCCTAAACCCCAAACCCCAAACCCCAAACCCCAAACCCCAAACCCTAAAACCCTAACCCAAATCCCTAAATCAGGATAGGCTTCAAGTTGTCTAGTCGATGGTTGTGCCTCTTTGATCTGGGCTTCGGGGAAACATCTGCCTCTCCACCCTGGATGCAGATAAGAGCAAGCATAAGAGGAGTTCCGTGGTAATCCAACAAGAAGCACAGACCCAAAACCCAAAACCCAAAACCCTAAACCCTAAAACCTAAACCCGAAACCCTAAACCATAAACCCCAAATCATCCCTTGCCAGAAGGGCCCGAGACTCTAGCCCTGGCGGACAAGTTCTTCGGCATGAATAGGGTTAGGAGCTGCTTCGGTTGATAATATAAATCCTGCATGACCCTAAGCACCCTAAACAGTAGGAATTATGGTAGTTTAGTATAGTAGAGTCATGCAGGATTTACCTAGGTGAGAGCACTGAGCCCCAAAGATCCGGAACCCTAAGCCCTAAGCCCTAAACCCTAAGTCCTAAGCCCCAAAACCCCAAAACCCGAAGCCCTTAACCCTTAACCCTTAAACCCTTAAGCCCTAAGCCCTAAGCCCGAAACCAGGCCTTCGGGTCACACGCTCTAACCTTTTCTGGTCCTGCGGGGATCGGCTCGATCCCGAGGTCGCTACTGGATAAGGGTTTAGGGTTTAGGGTTTAGGGTTTAGGGTTTAGGGACGCTGAACCCTAAACCTTCCTAACCCTAAACCGCAAACCGTTTAACCCTAAACTCAAAACCTTTTAACTCTCAACCCCAATCCCTCACCCCCGCCACCACCAGGGCACAGACCCCCCAGGGTTTTGAGGTGCAAAACTTTGTAAACCCTAAACCCTAAACACTAAACCCTAAACCCTAAACCCGAAACCCTAAACCCTAAACCCTTGTCAAAACTTGGGCTTTAGCGTTGGCTCCTTCGGCCGAGGACCGTGCAAACCTTGCACACAAGGCCAGGAGAAAGGGTTCAGGGTTTGGGTTTGTGGTTTAGGGTTTAGGGTTGGGTTAAAACCCTAAACCCTAAACCCTAAACCCTAAACCCTAAACGTTTGGGGTTTCAGGTTTAGGGTTTAGGGTTCAGGGTTGAGGGTCTAGGCAGTCTGCGGGCCAGGATGTTGAGTTGGGCCTAATTGGTTTGAGGGTTGCCAGGAGTCGTTTAGGCATAAACCCTAGGCAATCTAAATGCCTTCGCGGGTGCTGTAACAGGGGAGCAACCTCAAATGCGCGTAATGGAGTCTGAGCACTGCATCCGCTCAAGTGCAAGTTGCAAACTTCCTTGCCAAAAGCCCTATGAACCCCTAAACCCCTAAACCCTCTAGGCTCAACGTCGCGTTGGAGCCCGCCCGGTTTAGCATACTATGCCCTCTCGCCAGCCCTGATACCGACACCCTAAGCCGTGAATTTCCTCGTGAAGGGCTAGAGTCTGCTCGGAGCAAGAAGGGTGTTCGGTTTGGGGCGTAGGGCCGAGAAGGGAACCTTAATGATTGCCAAACAAAATGCTCAAGAAAATGGTGTCTTGGTTCCTTTCACACGCTCGTGTCTTAGTTCGTTGGGGGTATACGTTGGAAGGATGTGGGGGGTCCGAACGCAGTTAGGGCTCTTGGGTAGTTTAGGACTTATGTCGATGCACGCTCTCTGTCGGTGTTTTGGCTATATAGCTTCAGGAGGGATGACTGGCCCTGCCCAGGTCACTAAGCCTGAAGCAATCAAAGCGTTGAAGATCTAAATCCTAAACCCTGAGCCCTTTTTGGGGATCTCTGTTTACAGTACGTTCCCTGTTCCCATAATAAGGGTTGAGGGGGTCCCTCC